CCCCCCCCCCCCCCCCCCCCCCTCTGAAAATAAGGAAAAGAGGCCTTAATGCAACATGCCACATAACAATGGGCTTCAAGTTTCATATGTACTTTAATGAACTGAGGCCTGGTATTATGAATACTGTAGATGGACAGATGGATAAATTACAAGCTTCTGCCACTTAGCATCATCCGTGTCTCTCAGTCTAGCTCAGGAACAGACTTGTTATTTCAGACCTGGGTCTCACTTGAGCAGAGACTGCCAATCATGTTAATTTTTTTTTGGGGGGGGGGGCGTGGATTGTGGTGAAAGCAAATTGAAAACTCAGGCAAGACATTTTATTTCAGAAGCAAGACATTTATTGGGCAGTTTTACTCTGCAAAAATAGCAGTTTAGAATTCTGAGTGTGTCTGCTCTGGAATCTGAATGGAAATAAAACAAGGTTTTGCTAATTGGAAGCTCTGCAGACTCAGCCTAAGCATTATTTTTTCTTTTTTAATGGAATTAAAAAGAACCCAGAGCACTAGTGTCCAGTTTATGGTCCACCCCCATTGCCATTTATTTCAAGAGCTACCATTTGAGGCCAGGGTAAACCAATGATGGAGCTGCACTTTCACTTGCTAGGTTTTGAACCAGGAAGTGAACAGATTACCAGGGATCCTGGTTTTCTCTGATAAAAAAATCGCAAATTCTCTGATTAAGAACTCCAAAATCCACGATTAAAATGAAACACCACTATGTATACAGGTATCAGTTGAACACGATGTTGCATTGATATATATATATATATATATACACACACACATTTTTAAAGCAATTTGAAAACCTACCAGTGCCTCAGTCATTATAATGAAATAAATTCTAAATACCTATACATTTTGGTGTTTGATTTGGGGTTTTTTATTATGGAAAATCAGAGCTCCCCCTGCCCCCTTCACTCACCAGGACACAGGTCCAGACCCCTCACTTCCAAGCCAGAGTCCCCAACCCTGCTGGTGCCCCTCACTCCCCAACAACAGCCCTCTGGCCCTATGTTGGCGCCCATCACTCCCTACCCACACCCCCCTGGTCGTGCTGGTGCCCCTTGCCCACCACCCACAGCCCCCCATGCCCACCAGCCCTGCCAGAGGGGACCTCCAGCTGGCAGGGCTATGGGGCCATGGACCCGGGTCAGCCCCCAGCAGCAGCGCCCAAGCCCCAGCTGCCTCCCACAGGAGATGACAGCTCCTGTGGCCCAGCAGGGAGGAGAGCATGGATCCCGGCTCCCCCATACCCATGGGTAGCATGGCCGAAGCAGAGCCCATGGTGAGGCAGGTGCAGGATGCCTGTTGCGGGCTCGGGCTCGCCACTTTGCTGCCATCCCCCTGGGGCCTCTGTGGCGTGAGTGGGACCTGGCATAGCAGGGCAGAGCTGGGTGGGGTGGGGAAGCTCCTTGCTGCTGCAAGCTCTGCACTACCCTGGCAAAGCACCCCTTGCCCACCCAGCAGCAGTGAGCGGCAGAACTCTATGCCATGACCCCTCACTGCTGACAAGTGGGCAGGGGGCATTTCACCATTGCAACACAGGGATTGCACTGGCAAGGAGCTTCCCTGCCCACCCCTGCTCTACCCTGTCATGCTGGGTCCCACCTGCCGGGCTGTGGATGCCCTGGGGAAGGACAGCTGGGCAGGGAGCCAAGCCTTCAGTGGGCAGCCCACATCCACCTCCACCCTGCACACAGTTCTCGGGAGGACATGTCCCCTCTGCTTCTCACCAGAGTGTGTGGAGTGGCAGGGATCCAGCCACCCTCCTCCCCCCTTCAGACCCATCCTACTCCTTGCTGTGGCCCTGCAGCAGTGCATTCTGGTATCAGGCACCAACCCCCATGCACTGCCCCAGCTGGGCAGCAGCCTCAGCCTCAGTCCCAGCCGCAGCCCTGCTCAACTCCCTCCCTCCCTCCCTCCCTATGGGGGCCTCAATCCCCTCCCCACAAAACTTACTTGCAGGAGATGCTCTCTAGGCTGCCTGATGGCCATGTTTATTGGTGCTGTGCGAAGCTTCGGTCCCTGATTTGATTCGGCAGAGATTCGGCCTGATTCAGTGGCCGAATCTCCAAATCCAAATCAAATCAGGAGATTCTTGAATCTCTCCGAATCAAATTGGAATCCTCCAAATTGATTTGGAGAGATTTGGAAAGATTTGGCGATTTGGACATAGACACAGCTTTAAATATTTTTTCTACATACCTCTAGGTAGCAAGCCGCTCATCAACACTGTGATGCTGGGGCAGATGGTGCATCCCACAGGAATGTGGGGGGTTCCCCAGTGTGCTCAGCAGCAGACCCGGAAATGGACCAGAAGCACTTCTGGTCCACTTCCACGTCCACTGGGGAGTGTGCAGGGGGTCCTCCCACGCCTCCCCTGGCTCGGGGACTGGTGCCTCCTGGGTCGGGGGGGGCACCTGGGGTTCCCCCGTGACTGATCGCTGAGCCGGGGAAAGCAGGGGGGAGGGGCAGCCCCCCACTGCATGCTCCCCAGCAGACCTGGAAGTGGACCGGAACTACTTCCAGTCCACTTTCGGGTTTGCCACCGAGCACATGGAGGGCTCCCCCATACTCCTGCGGGACGCTCCATGCACCCCAGCATCGCAGCGTTCACGAGCCATGCTGGTACCTCAAGGCATGTAGAAAAAACATTTGAAGCTGTGTCTATGTCTGAATTGCTGGTTCTCTGAATCAGCATCAAATCTTCAGATTTGGCTGAATCGAATCAGGAACAGTGATCTGAATCAATGAATCGAATCATTGTCCCTGATACGGGCTGAATCCAAATCTGAATCGAATAGGGCCTGCTTCACATACCCCTAATGTTTATGTGTGTACATGGAGCCCCCTGCCTGACTGCCCTCCTTCTACTCCCCGCAGCCCTTTGCAGGCTGCAACTCTGCCAGACTGCAGAGAGCTCTTTGTACAAGTGGAAAATCCATGTATTTCTGTTAAAGTGAGAAATCCACATTTTCTCAGGTAAAAGGGAAAATTTCCATTTTTCCATGGGAAATGGAAAACCCAGATCCCTTCAGATTACTGAGATAATTTGTTAGCCCCCTAGTGTCCTCCAAAGTTCTCTCCTGACCATCATTCCATACATTTTCCTTCACTTGTTTCTCTTGCTCCTATCAGCTGTAAGGTGTTGAGTAAGAGAATCATAGAAAATTAGGGTTGGAAGGGACCTCAGGAGATCATCTAGTCTAACCCCCTCCTCAAAGCAGGACCACCTTCAACTATATAATCCCAACCAAAGCTCTGTCTAGCTGGGTCTTAAAAAACACCAAAAATGAAGAGTCCATAACCTCTCTGGGTAATCTGTTCCAATGCTTTATGAACCTCCTAGTGAGAAAGTTTTTCCAAATATCTAACCTAAAGTTCCCTTGCTGCAACTTGAGACCATTGCTCCTTATTCTTTCAGGAAGACCCTATCTCCAGCAAAGACAGCTGGATGCTAATCCTAGTGAAAACCCCTAATTTGCTCCTGTGATGGGTATAGGAGCTGCTACAGAAAAGAGCTGCTAGTGGTTAAGCCCATTGAGGCAGATTATGATTGTATTTACCCTAAATTCAACTGAGCTAAATGGAGTTACTTTGGATTTACCCTTGTGAAAATAAGACCAAAGACTAGCCTCTAGAGCATTCCCAGCACTTACTGGTTTGGGTGCTGCTTGAGGATGGGAAGGCAGGGAGAGAGAAGGAAAGAGCAAGTATGTGTTCTGAACTTAGATTCCCTCCCCTCAAACATGGTAATGCATTGTATTTCATCCAACAGAAGCTGGTCACCTCTGGCATGTATATTTATAAAGCTTTCATTTAGCCAAAAGAAACAAAGCTGTTTACAGCAACCAAAAGAGATGCTCACTATCTGAACTGATAGTAAGCATGTGATCATTTTTAAAAAAGGTGTGCTCCATTATCTTATCTTATATAACCTTATAAAAGGCAAAGCCTATCAGAAATAAGATTGATGTATTGAGCCCAGAAAAATGAAATGAGATTATGTAACTTGACAGTGATAATGATTTCTTTGTTTAGCATACCTGTGTTGGAGAACCTGGTATTTATAAAAGTGCAGTTCCTGAAGTATGTGTTTATTGAAGTAACATCTTCAAATGTGCAGTTATCAAAATGGAAATTTTGAAAGGTTACTGATTTAAACTTCATTGTAGTAAACCTGTCCAATACAAATAATTTCCATTAGTCTGTCTTCATGTATAATGAATAGAGAGACCCAACACATTCAGCTGTGTGGACTTACACTGATGCCCTTCACACTCCCCACCCATCCTTACTGGAAGCATAATGCAGTGTCAGAAGTTGATTAGCTGATGCTATGCCATCATTGTTCAATATATTGATTTCCCAAAATATCATCTCCACTCAGCTGCTCAACATAAAGAAGGATGTCATTTCTTTACTAATTAATAAGATGACAGGATCAACACTAGTATAATAGACTAGTTAAAGCAGATTTAAATTGAATCTCACAGTTTTTGTAAATTTTGAGTCAGTCTCCAGAAATCTGGTCTCTTGGAACAAACAAACAATGGAGATTCTAATACATTTTTAAAGAACCTTTATTTCTGCAGCTGAATGCTTTTGAGCCTCTCTTCAGAGTTAGGCTCAAAAGCATTTGGGCCTAGATGTTCAGAACATCTTTTGCCAACATTTCTAATGCAAGCATAGTATTGGACTGATATCATCATCATCTAGTTAGACAATGACCTGGCAATAGCAATTAGTATGCCCAGAAATTATACACAAGTATTTTTGTTCATACTGTTCTAGAATTGCATCTTTCTACTTAATGGTTCTTTTCATTTTCTTCCCACTCCTTAGTGAATGTAATTTAATTAATATTATAGGCTTTTGGCTACCATTGTCTACTAAATAGTATTGTCTCCCAAGAATAATTATGTTTAACATTTGTAGGCCAAATGTACAACAGAATTCTTTGCCAGCCAGACATGCGATGACATATAATCTATGACTGACATAGCTGTTTTGACATAAAGCCCTAGTGCAGGTTCAGTTATGTTAGCAAAACTGGGCTTTTGCCAATACAGTTTATTTCACCATGATTGGTCTAACACTTTCTGCTATACTACCTGAGCAAATTTCCCATGACTTACACCACAATGGCTTCATACTTAAACTCAAAAAGCATTCTACTTTAGGTGGAATTGGGAGTAGAATTATAAGTTTACTCTGTGGCAGATAAAAAAAAATATAGCAAATATTAAGTTCTCATGGATAAAATGGTTAGAATCACTTTTTATCAGGAAGGAAGCACAACATTTTTTTCTGATTGTCACAGGTAAAATTATTAGCTAATGAATTCTCTGTTAGTATTAGACAGGCAATTGAAGCCTTCAGTCTATTAAATCATTAGCTACTGTATCATTTCTAATTTGTGACAGTCTGATTAATTTCAGACTGGAGGTCAGTGGCCATCCATTATCATTTCACACAAGCTTATCCTGCTTGCCTACTTAAAGTTTCCTAAACTAAAAGGGGACAAAGAGAATGGAGGAACTAGACTGATGATGACCTCCCCCAGATTCCCCCCCCACCAAAAAATCCCAAACGCTGCATCAATACTGCTCTAGGTTCTTGGAAATCAAATCCAAGCAGAAAGTGCTGATTAGAAAGTGGACTATTTTTTGTTATATTTTTAAATTAGAATTGCTGAGTGGGCAAGGAGAAAAGAAAAACTATATACAGTAAACCTTCTTATGGGAAAAACCCCCCAGAGGAGTTGAAAAGAGGGGAAATTGTTTGATCCCTCCAGGAACATAAGCTCATCAGCCCTCAAACTTCACAAAGCTTGCATATTTCATAGATTCTGGATAGACTTGGGAGCTTCAATGTTTTTACAAACATTTTTATGAAGTGATCTACATCAGACTGGCAGAATGCACTGTGACTGAGATGTATTGAATGACAATAAATGGTTCCACATTTTGAAGGGACTATTCACTTCCGAAATGGTATCGAATTTGGAGGCAGAAGCAAACTTAAAAATAAGACAGGCTGGTTTTTCCTGCAATTTTGAACTTCTCTGTACTATACAAAGCTTTAACTAGTTCAAATTCTTATTTCAAAGGAAGCCTTCTTATGTTACCAAAACAATTACTGTTACTAACTTATATATATTTTTAGTACATAAGCAATGATAACAAGGCCAACCAGGCGTGACCAAGCTTAGAACCTTAACGTTTTATTTGTAGCTGTATTATTAACAGCCACTGAATATAACTCTATTTTGTTATCCTTTACATAAGTCAGTCAATAAAATTCTAGCTAGTGGCTTAAGATGTGTGGACTCAATTACTAAATAAATAAATAAAAAGGACAGAAATGGTTTTTCTTTTTCCTTTTACAGCAGTTCTATTGATTCCCTCCTGCTTTTATCTTTTCAACTGCATCTTTTTCTGTGTTAAGAGCTGATCCTCTGAGGCAGTCTATGCTCCTGAACCTCTGCATTTTGTCAGAAGAGGTCTTAAATGAGTACAAAGAAAAAAAGCAGGAAACAGAAGGACACTGAACAAACTACCCTTTCTCTCAGCACAGGAAGGAAAATAAGCCTCCTTCCATGCATTAGGCCTGAAAAATCAGTCTGTCTGTGAAATGAAGCAAAAATTATGCATATTCTCCTCAGGGAAACAAAGGGAAAGGAACCCATTTGACCATACAGACCCTTTGTCCCGTACAATCCAATTTACCAGAATATGGCAAATGTTTTTGAAAATCAAGCCCTAAGGAAATAAGAGTAGAACCCATCTCCCAATGTAACCCCTTCTCAGACTATTAAATATCAATATTGAAAAGTGTTAGTTTATTAACATAACCATAAAACTTAAGTGAAATTAGCAATATTTTCTTAACCAGAACAGGATAGTAAAGTTTTTTTCTAGACCTGGCATTTGTAAACTCTCCATCAATGTGGATCTGATTTTCCAACGTGAAATTGAAGTTGGTATCAAGATATTTCTTCCCATAAAAATGCTGCACTCTAGATGCATATTCTTCTGACTGCAGATGTTTAATGACATCGGGAAACCAAACAGATAGGCCATAGTAGCTGTGAGAAGGAGAAAAATATTCAACCATGGAGTTTACCTTTAGTTCAGAACTATGTATCAGACCAAGGAGCCAACTGGCACTATTGAAATATCTTAAGCAAATGATTGGATTTTACATAAGCACTTCTAAAGTATGATGCTTAGATTTTTTTTAAACATCAGAATGATTTTAGGAGGAAATTTACTTCACTTGGCTAAAGGCAAAATAATGGAGTTTTACAATGATAAACAGTATAAGAGATGTGAGGGAGAATGCATTCCTCAACCTGTGACCAGAACTCCTGGAGTAGGTCTCCATGTGCAGAGGCATGTATTTGTAAAGGCACAAAATACTGTGCTGCTGCTTTGTGCCCCCTTGCACACTCCTGCAAGTGTGCTTTGGCATGCAGCAAATTCTCCTGGGTAGGAGTAGGGAAGGCTAGGGTCAGCATCTGTGCTGGCCCCAGCAGCATTACCTGGTGCCCTGGTGCACTGGGGCACAGATCCGGCAGCATGGAGCCTGGCCAGCAGCCACAGCATTGGTCTAGATGGCCACCCCTGTTTGTTTCAGCACATGCTACTGACACATGCTCTGTGACACATTTTTCCCCCTAATTTTTTTTGCTACTGGAATTTCTTGGTAGCAAATTTTGCCACTGCAATGCAAATTTGCAGCATGGCACACATTTTTACCTTCCCTGTGTGCAGTTTGTCGTGCCACAAACCGCATGCTCCTGCACATGGGGACCCACCCCTGGATTCAATGACCCCTTTACTGCTGCTGGGTTAGGTGTTGTGCTTGCATGGGCAACAGGAGCACTGGACCAGTGGGATTAGTGATCTTTCCTTTTATGATTCACAGTATAATCATTATCCATGTCAAGTATTGCAGGACTGGCAGAAACACCAATTAGGGATTATAGGGAGAAGCAGCCCTCTGTACGGCTACTCTGTTAGCAGCGCACACTACGTAGTCCCAAGATAGAGCTTATGTGGCTGGAAGAATCTTTCACAAGCTCTTTTCATTAAAGTGAACATCATTATTAAGATTACTGGGTTTTTGGTTGTAGCCGTATTGGTCTAAGGACATAGGCAGGTAAGGTTCTTTGAGTGATATCTTTTATTAGACCAACTGAGTAGCTGGAAAAAAAGTTTTAGGCAAGCTTTCAGATTCAGTCACCCTTCTTCAGGCATAGGGAGTCTCTGCTGGTCTGAGACTCCAAGGAATGAGTGAAGCTAAAAGTGTAACAGGATGTCAGTGAAAATGTAAATAGGTAGAAATTAGAAAAATAAAATGTAAAACAGGTAAGGGAGGGGGAAGCAAGCAGGGGGAAAAAAGGCCAAAGGAAAACACTACAGTGATAATAGCAATAGCACAAGGTAAAAAAGAGAGGCTCTCAAAGAAAAAGGAAATGGTTGGAAATCAGGAAGACAAACGGCAGAAAAGTAGGGGAGGAGGAGAGAAAAGGTGGGGGAAAAAGAAGAAAGTAAGAGGCCAGGTTAAGCAGGTACCTGATGAATCAGATGTCAGGCAGGTTGTAATGCATCATAAATCCAGTGTCTATATTGATTCCATGATTTTTTGTATCCACTAGATTTATGAGTTTTAGTTTGCTGTGCCCCAAGTCATTTAAGGCGCATTATGCCACTGAATTTCCTACAGCGGCTGGAATTAATGTGCAACCACTGAGGCGTGTAAACACAGACACCATTAAAGCACTGCAAAAGCATTTAGCCCACTTTAAAGTGTCATGCACACACATGCGCCTCTTGTTTCATCTGCAGACAGAGTTGGATATTGATCATGGTATCCAAAAAGGAAATGCTGGTGTTAGAGTATTCAAGTGATAGTCTGATGGAGAGGTGATGATTGTTGGATTTTTGGTGGAAATCAATCAGAGACTGCAGGGTTTAAGTCCAAAAGATGAAGATGTCATCTATAGTAAGGGTGTAGTTCTTGAGGAAGTCTTGTTCTAGGTGGGCCATAAAAAGGTTGGCATATTGTGGGGCCATTCTGATGCCCATGGCTGTGTTCGTGGTCTGGAGGAAGTGTTGGCTGTTGAAACTGAAGTTGCTTTGTGTGAGGATGAAGTATGAGTTCAGTGATATCCTAGGGTCTGTACGCTGAGTTGTAGTCTTGTTCTTGTAGATATGTGAGGCAGGCTTGGATGCCATCCTGGTGTGGGATGTTAGTGTATAAGCTAGTGACATTCATGGTGGCTAGGAGGGTATTGCTGGGAAGGTGGTCTATGTTTTTGAGTTTTCGCAGGAAGTCTGTTGTGTCTTGGATGAAACTCAGTCTTTGAGTGATGAGCAGTTTTAAGATTGATTAGATGAAACGTGATATTTCTTCTGTTAGAGTTCCATGGTTAGAAATGATAGGTCAGCCGAGGTTTCCTTGTTTGTGGATTTTAGGGAGCAGGTAAAAAGTCCATGGATTGGGTAGCGGAGGGATCAGGGTCTGAAGTTTTTCTTGTAGTTCTGATGGAAATGATCTGATGATGGTTTTAAGTTTTGAGGAAAAAAGGGGAGTGGGATCTTCCTCTAGTTTTTTGTAGTAAGTAGTGCTGGAGAGTTGTTTGTTGGCTTCTTCTGTGTAGTCTTCATGGTTAAGGATAACTATACCTTCTTCTTTATCTGCTGCTTCTATTACTATTTGGTAGTTGGATCTTAGAGATTCTATGGCCCTTCTTTCTGAGAGGAAGAGGTTGTCATATTGGTGTTTGTTGTGACATCCTTTTACACTTTCAGCTTGTCTCATTCGTTGGAGTCTCTGACCAGCAGAGACTCCCTATGTCTGAAGAAGGGTGACTGCACCGAAAGCTTGCCTAAAACGTTTTTCCCCAGCTACTCAGTTGGTCTAATAAAAGATATCACTCAGAGAACCCTGCCTGCCATAATTAAGATCAAACACTTCAGGACCCCAGTTATGGACATTAACATAATGAGGATCACGGTTTGTTCATTGGTGTCTTGTCTGTGGATCAGGAGGGAAAGGGAGCAAAATGAAAGTTCCACAAAGTAAGGTGATGTATATTTTACCTTTGTGTAAACTCTTCAAAATGGTATTGAGGTCAAGACAGATATTTACTGGGAAGCTGGAGCTGCCCTCACTCAGGACTTAGATAATTCTATGTTTTCCAAGTGCTGTACAAATAAAGTTTGACCCTTTATTCCTTCTTTTTAAATCTTAGTAAAACTAATTTTATTCAAGCAGGTTGAATTCTGGCTCTGCGTTTTCAAAAGTGATTTGGGGTTCCTCAGTTTTTGGTTACTTAAGGGGTACTGACCACCAAAAGAGTCTAAACCTTTGGAAGCCACAATTTGTTAAAGTGGAAAGTTGAATAGCTAAACATGGAGCAACTCCAAAATATAATTTTCTGTTTAAAAGTTTATTGATTAAGTGTTGTCAAAAAGAATATTAAATTAGAGCAACAAAGCAGATTTGTATGCAGCCTGAGGGGAGCATCACAATTTTTTTTACATAAACAAGCTGACTATTAAAAACTATCCAAGAATCTACATCAATCTTACCCAAACGACAGAGTGAACCATACAACTGTTAGCTTGATTGTATTGTCTTTGACTGGATAGTTAAAACATCTCATAAATGTTAACCAAATCTGTAATATATGAGAAAACAAGCTTATTTTCAAAGAGAATTTTAGACAATTTAGTTAAATTATAGAGAATTAGGTACTGATTTTCTGCTTTATCAAGGTAGCAGTACACACGGAATAACAGGGATGATATTACAGCTGCAATTCTCAGGTCAGATCTCTACCCTGGGGTCGGTAAAAGCACCTTGCTTTCTATATCTATAATATACTTTTGTGGCCTCCATTCTGACTACTTCCAACATTTTTAACTTATTAGCAGCTTTTGAACAATCACAACGTTAAAAAAGCACCTAAAACCAAACCCCCAAAAAACAAACCTGTCTGAAATGCTTTCTTCTTCTGAGTGTGTGACAGGCAGTATTCCACCTTGGAATGGTGTTAACTTTAAGGTCTGATATATGGTGATCAATTACAGATAGAAATGGATATACGTAGGAGAAGGAACTGCATCTGCCACTGTGTTAGAAGCTAAACAGTGGAACTGGCTGAAAAATAGTTTTCCACTATAGTTTCAAAGATGTCCCTCCTTTGGAGATGGGAGAGAACATGTTAGTTTGGCCAGGGTCCTGATTAAGAAGAGAATGGAAACAAACTATAACAGACCTGCAATTCCTGTGAGATACAGTACAAAGTGATGCAACACATATATTTTTTTTTTATTTTCAACTGCTCAGGGATTTTTGTTTGTTTCTTAGTAAAAAAAAACAAACAAAAAAACACACTAGCATTTTTTACAACTTTATTTTCAAAGGATAACAGTTCTGACTGAAAAATTTTGGCCAGCCAACATTTTTTCAGTTCTATTAAGTCTTAAGATGTCAGATTCAACACTGTAAAATTTTGGGTCATTTTGATTGCTTCTAAATTTGTAACATCTTATTTTTCTTTTTAAGTTTTACATTGTAGAAATCAAAGTAACAGAAATTCCTTGCTTTTTATAGAAAACAGACCCAATAAACTTATTTAAATTCTCTGATATATTATTAAATATTATTTTCTGTAAAGTATTTGGCATATGTTCTACAAATGATAGTTTAGTGTCCAATAAAGGTTTTATTGACACTTTTATGGGATGACCTTCATAACACATTCAAGGTTTTATTGTTTATCCTATCCTAAACTAATATTGGTAAAACTTTTATGTTGTTATGTGTTTATACTCTTTTGATACTTATTATGACCTGATGAATAATACCCTGCATTTGAAACCCTGTCTAACTCTATTCCAACTATGCAGCTAGTCCCATAACAATATCACCCTAAGACATCCTTGCCTCTCACATAATTCATGAAACATTTTGGCTACAACATCACTCTAGCACTACCACTGTTACATTTGTATTGATTTATTATTACACTTGTGAAATGTATGGGCAAATGTAACAGCAATGGTTAGAACATATTCCTATACTATACTTAGGAATTACTCACATACCTGAGTCTTTCTTCTGAAGAATCGAGCCATCACCAGTGCTTCCATGGGCCCAGGAAACTAGAATCTTATGATTGTTTTTGGACTCAGAGATCATATTTGGTGTATGGCACGATAGCTGTCTTAGCAGTGGTGCTCAACCTTTTTGATCAGTGTGCCAGATGGGCAGTGCCCAGGCCATCTGAGGGCTGGATCCAGCTGATCGTAGTGATCTGGCATGAAGTGATTGCAGCAGGGCCCCATCCAGCCATGCAGAAAGGGACAGGAGACATCCCAATTCCAACCTGGCTCCATGGTGGGGGAAGGAAGAGGGTATGGTCCAGCCCCATGGGAGCCAGGGGGCATCCCAGTTCCAACCTCTCCCTGTGGGGGGAGGGTGTGTACTAGCCCAGCGCCATGTGGGGGAGAGGAGGTGTGGCCCACTCCAAGCCAGCCCCATGGAGGAAATGGGCTTGAGCTGGTCCCAACCCAGCCCCATGGGAGAAAGGGTGCATGGCCCAGCCCCATCCAGGCCAGAGGGTGAGGTATGACCAGGCCTGATCCAGCCATGGAGGTGGGAGGAGGGGGTGTGAGCTGGCCCTGGCCTGCTATGCAGGGCTCGGGGTTTGGGAATTTTACAGTGGAGGAGGGTGTCTATATTTATTGCCATCATTCTCCCACAGCCAAATTTCCCAATCCATGGGGAGCCCTGTGGGCTGGATACTTATGGCTCCACAGGCTGCATTTGGCCCACGGGCTGGAGGTTGAGCCCCCCAGTCAATAGCATCAGGTCACTCCATCAATCCCATTTCTGGACACTAATTAAAGTACAGAGGGTAAATCAAGAATCAATTAGAACATTGATTTTTGTTACTTACACCGTATAACTCTGTGCGGATTCTAACAAAACACCTTCGATACCAAGTTCCTGTGTCAGTCTCAATTTCTATGAGCTCATCTATCTGTTTTGGAGTTTTGATTCTGTTAACCTGTAAAATAGAATCATAGCAGCAGTTTTTGCACTGAAAATTTAAATCAGCTCCATAAATTAAAGATGGACATACCTGAAGGCTCTATGTCTGCTCTAGGAGCAGCTTATAGGTATAGGCATACTGATGCGTTCTTCTGTGGATACTGGTGAACTAGCAAAACTGTACTTTATACCAAATTAGAAAAACAATCCTGCATGACCTATCCTGGTAAAAGTATACTTTGCTGGTGTGACTGTGTCTATATGAAGGGTGGGCACAGCTGTTTTGGACAGGGAACACACTACTCCCTATTCCAGACTGATATAGCCAGGCCAGCAGAAGTATGTAAAATAGACTTGCCTTTGGGCTAGATTTTCAGAATATCTTAATTGGATGTTTATGGCTTTCAGTAGCATATTTATACACTTAGTGTAATTTACATGCACAAAGTAGGTATGCAACTGCAAACAGTTTTGCTTAGGGGCCTATATATCTAAATATTCAAACACTAGTTTATGTGCAAAAAATTACACAACTTTGCAAAAAACTGGGCTACTCTTTAAAGGAGACTAACTGAAAATCTGGGATTTTAGGTGGTATTATGAGGACAACTTTCTTACAACTTGAATAAAGCATGAGATGAGTTGGTCTTATAGCTTGCTTTCCCATTTGAAATATACACTTTTTGTGTACACAAGTGGCAGTGATGTCATTGTGGGGCGGAGACAGGGGTAACCACCCTGGGTTTAAATTAATGGGGGAAAGAGGTGCAAAGAAAAATGGCTTCTACCTGCAACCATGCATTTGGATTTGCAGTCACCATGGTAACCAGAAGTTGCTGCTTCCACTTTGCCCCAGGCACCAAGCTGCATCCCTACACTGCTGGGTCCACAGGAGGGATCAGGGGGGCAGGCAGGCCCTTGAGGAGGATCAGTTGGACAAATAAAAAAAGGTGGTGGAAGCCCAGGACTAAAAAGGCTCAGCCCCTCCAAACACAGGTAGGGCCACAAGGCAGCCTGGCTGTGGGCTCTAGGCAGCTGCAGCAGGGGTGAGGAGGGGTGTGCACACAGCCAGGATTGCAGCCTGGCATGTGGATCTCTGGCTGCCCAGCATGGCAGGCAAGTACCAGCCTATTCAGTGAAGGGGCAGGGTGCGGGGCAGACTGAGGCCCTACAGTGAGGAAGGGAGTGGGGCAGGGGAAGGGCAAGGGTGAGTGGGGCCCTGGCTGTGCGGGTGCTGGGGCAATCAGAGCCCAGGTGGTTTGTCCAGGGGCATGGGGGGCTCCTGCTGCTGCGTGCACCTTGGCAGGGGCCTGGGGGTCACATGGCCCTCGATCTGTGTGTGGGGTGGAGGCGGCTGCTACTCCACATTGGACTCTGACTCTGCTGCAGCTGCCCTAGGAGTGGTATGGCGCCATATGTGTCCAACTGCTGGATTGGGCTGTGCTGCCCGTCTGGCAGTGGAACAAACATGGTGTTGAACCATTCCCAGGGCAGCTGCAGTGCAATCAGAACCCAGTGCACAGTGGTAGCCACCTCTTCCCTGTGCACAGATTGAGGGGGCACGTGAGCCCTGAGCCTTCCCTGGGGTCCACACAGTGGCGGGAGCCCCCCTGTGACCCTGGACAAGCTGCCCAGGCTCTGACTGTCCATAACCTGGCCTGGCTGGGGCTTCAGTAACCCCAGCCCCTGCCCCAATCCTTCCCCTGCTGCTGGAGGCTCCATCTACCCCCCTGCCCCCTCCCCCACAGACTTACCTGGTAGGTGGGGGGAGAAGTACACATGCATGTGCACACATGCTAAGCCCCCACAAATATTTCTTTCTCCCTCCACCTATGCAAATAGGGTCCATGTGGAAGA